GGGGGGGGGGGGGAGGGGCAGGCAGACAGAGAGAGAGAGGGGAAGGAGAGAGCTCGAAAAGAGTAAAGCAACCTTGTTATAACGTACGAGTCTCGCGTTTTTCAACGTTCTCTTTCCTTCTCTCGTGGCGCGCGCGCGCGCTGTCGCTCTTTGATACTTTTAATTCTAGAAATCAAATCAGCCGACGCGCCAGCGAAATGGAACCTAATTATCCAACTCGTGCTCTTTCTCTCGCTCTTTGCTTTTGTTTTTTTATTAGTCCGATAATATATTGTTGCTGGAGCGACGGAACGACGCATCTCCCAGAATGTAACGTCTCTCTTTCCTTCCGCTGTAATAATCACGCGAAAGAAAATCAAAAACGCCGACCAAAGAGCGGAATTGCGTAAGCGGCAGCGGTCTGATTTTAGAAGTACTGTTGAATAAATGTGTGAGGTAATTGAATTCTATTGATTTTAAGACATCGTCGAAGTTCTACTCTTATCATGCCTATCTTTCCTCACGCTTACGCAATTAAACGTGATCGCAGATCGATGCCGAGTTCTCCTATTCCGAAAAGTTCTTCGTACACGACAAAATCATTGATCAAAGTAAATTTATGGAAAATTTTCAGAAAAAAATGTAAGTTCGAATAAATTGGGTATACATAAATTTGCAAAATAGTCTGCAGCAACAAGAGAACTGTTTAATGCACTTCGTTAACTTGACGAACAAAGATTCGCACTATTTTAATCACGGTGCACTCGGTCACAGAACGGTTGCAACAATTTTTGTTTATCATATTTCGGAAAAATTATGACGAAGCGAACCTATGAATTGACCGATCGTGCGCAGTAGGTAATCTGACAGCTGTCAAATCACATATACAAGGTGTAGGCAAAAAGGTAAGTAATAGAGCAATATATTAGTTATGCACACTTTAATAAAAGAAAATTAAGACTGAAAAATCAAAATTATATTTATAAATTATATCACATTTTCGCATGTTAAATACGTATAAACCCGACGAATTCCAAAAACAATCCCAACAATTAATTTACTGCATATAAAGAGCTTGCTGCAAAATTATTATCAAAGAAACTCAAGAAAACGGGAAAGCGTAATAATAAAATACTTTTATTACATCAATCCGATGGTGCTTACAGTAAAAACAATCATACCAAC